TAGTTTGTAATGAAAGCATTTTATCGGTTATATCTGCAGTGTCATTTGATTGATGTCTTTTGTAAGCAGCCATATAATGAACCTGCAGGAAGGAAGTCATCATGGTAAAATAAGCCCCTTTAGTGTTATCAAGAGCCTTTTATTTTCTTGCTGAATCACCCTGCAGGGGCTTCAGTTGGAGTAATGATCAGTTTGCTATGCATTTATCGTTTTATTGTTCAAATCACAACATAAAGGGAGGGATGAAATAAAAGCAACACCTGTGCAATGTATTGCAGTCCAATCCAATAGCACTGCAACCAATTGTCTTTGTCAAGATTATGTTGAGTTTCTTTAGGAAAATATTAGAGGCTGACATTTTTTCCGGGATGGGAGTTAATTTCCCTATTCATCACGGGACTTGAAAAAAGCTTAAACGGGAGCGGTTCTAATATCAATAAATGTAATTTTCTGATTTTTTTATTTATTTATTGGGAATGGGTTGGGATGGGAGTCATTCTTGTTGGATTGGGACTGGACAGGAACTTTCTTTTTAGTCTGTCATGGGATTAGGACTGGGCAGGAGTATTTTTGTGGGGATGGGAGTGAAAATCCACTCCCATGTCACCCTCTAGGATATATGTAGTGTGTGCGTTTCTCTTTTTTCAGACCTTTTTAAACTAGTGTATTGTCTGATGTATGACAAAATAAATTTTGTTTTGTCATTTAGTGTAGTTATAATCCTTAAAGGTTCAGTGTGGAATATTTAGGAGGATCTATTGACAGAAATGCAATATTATATACATAACTATGTTTTCAGTGGTGTATAAAGAAACAACATAACAAATCGTTTTTATTAGCTTAGAATGAGCCATTTCTATCTACATACACCACAGGTCCCCTTACTTAGTGTTTCTCAACAGGGGAGGTACTGCCCCCCAGGGGCGTTCCGAGGACGATGGGGGACGCTGGAAGCAATATTTTGGAAGGGGGGCGTTTGTTGGTTGGAAATTCTAAGATTCACAACAATACGAGTTGCAACTACTTGCAAAAAACTGTGGTCTGCAACATTAAAACCTGCCAGTTTAGTCCACTGCGACTGGGCGAGACTGTGTACTTTTTGTGGTGCAGCTTCGTGCTGCCTTCACGGGAATGAGAAGTCAGAGTATCATCTCTAAAATTTTACCCAGTGTTGTCTGAATCAGTAACATAATGCAGTATAGGGCATGCAGTATAGGGCATGTAGTAAAATATTATGAATTCTCTTTAAATAGGCTAATGACTTTTTTCTTTACATGTCAGAGAACTCAGATATATGGGAGAGATTCTGGATGTGCAGGAAGTTTTGAACATGAGCAGATAAGTGACGGTGTTTCCCATACATTTAATTGTGGCGGACCGCCACAACAGGTGGCGGCAGTTCAGTTTCTTGCACAAGGATACTTTGACATGCAACTTGAAGGAGCCAGGGATTGAACTGCCGACCTTTCTGATTAACGGGCAACCTGCTCTACCTCCTGAGCCACAGCCGCCCATGGCAAGTGTATAAGGAGCCTAGATAATAAGGAGAGCTACATTTATGTTAGACTACAGCTGGGTTTTTGAGGCTAGCATGCTGTATCGGCGCCACAGTTACACTGTCATTCTGTGGGAAACACTGAGTTATGATAAGATAAGTTATTAACAGATGAGCTAATAAAGTCCAGCCAATAACTGAATTAAAACGGATTAATTTATTACTGAGATGAAAAGGGGCCACAAACACATTTAAATAGGTTACTTCCCCACAAAAGAGGTGGTAAGACTTAATCATGTGTGTTGACTCAGCAGGGATGATATTAAATAAGTTGATCTACAGGAGAAAAACATTTAAAAGCAATCAGAATGCCTGAGAGCCTCACTAGATTCTATTATAATTATATATTTTGAAATGTCACATGAATTTTTTGACATTTCCACCATAAATTGGTGCAGAAAAGGCAGAAATTGGAGGAGAAATTTTCACCAGAATGCAGGAAATTAAGTGTTTAATGCTCAAAATATTCTGGGAGAGGACCCCCATACCCCCCAAATATTGAGTGCCCCAACCAAGAAAACAGTATCTGGTTTCACACACAGTTTCTGGGAGGAACATTCACTTATTAGTTAAATATAATTACTTTTCACATGGCTTTTTATTACCTTTTCCATGTTTTGTAATAACAATAGTAACAATAAAAAAAATCAACAATATTCAGGGGAAATAGCAAACATCTTTTTTGATGGGGAGCGTTAAAGGACCTGGATAATGGATAGGGGGCGCTGGCCCAAAAAAGGTTGAGAACCACTGCCTTACATGGAAGTTGCCATCTTGCACCACCAGGTTTTTACAGTAGCCCAAACAGACAAAGTGCTTTACAGAGTGTGTTTCCTCACTACGTTGAATACATACAAGGAAGAAGAAAAAGAAGAAGAAGCAGAAGAAAAAGAAAAAAGAGTAGTAGTTGTTGTCTGGTTTATTAGAAGTAAGAAGAGAAGAGAAATTTGAACAAATGAAGGACCACACGTATTAATTAGCAGAAGAGCCGACAACGGATACCATAGCTTCTCCCACGCACTTGCAAAGGGAGGGTTGAGCGGTACCTTTAAAGGGAGACTTAGTGATTCTGCAGAAGGATTGTTGATGTTTGAACTCAACTGCCAAACAATTATACCCCTCCCTTCAGTGCTCCCTCAGAGGCTCCGTCCCCCAAATTTCAAATCACAGAGGTTTCTCCGGTGTTGAAACGCCTTTGCCCTTGCTTTATTGTTTAAATTTCTTCTCGCTACATGCTCTTCAGACCTTTTCTTCTTTGGTTTACCGGCCATCTCTCCTTCTTCACAGTGTTGAATAGAACTGTCCCTCCCATGGCCCGCTTCCGCCATCACTTCTGTGCATGTGCACTTATGCCACCTGTTGCTGATTGGCTGGAACAATGTTGTGTGGCAATGTCAACACCACTTCTTTGTTCTTCCATTTACAGTGCCAGGGCCGTGTGGAAAAAATGTATTTTTTTTCAGGGCACACACAAAACACAAAAATGCCAGCAAAGTCTGAGGAACTATTTGCTGAACTTAATAAAAGTGTATTGGATTATGATCACTTACTATCCCCTAAGAGTTGTATAGAATTAAACCCCATCTGTGATATTATTTATGGTCTGCATTTTTCCTGCAATAGCCAATAGAGACTGCCTTAACACAAGAATTTCATTGTATGGGTTCCTTTGGTTCCTATACAGGCAAAATATGTGAACTTGTATTTACTTTCACTCATTACCTCTCTATATAGTGGTTTTTCATTAGTGGTGGGGTCTGCTCTTCCCACACTGGAGTCAAGTTTCCATTATATGCACAAGGGATTTAAAGGATTCAGGAAAATTTTAACTTGATTTCACCCTACTGTTCACTTTTGTGAACTTTCACTGTGTCAGAGCTGTATAAAGTTACTGCGAAAGCACAGGTATCCCAAATCACCCAGGACTGATATAATAAGGATTACTTTTAGTGTCAAACCATGGTTGACCATGGTTGGTATTCAGTTCAGTCAAGTAAAGTCTTCTTCATACAGCCCGATATCATATATTACAAATTTATCTCACGGGGTCCATCCTTGGACACTCATTTTGAATAAGAAAAATCTCTCACAAAATGGAAGAAAGCTCAGGAAGAGCAACAAAAGAGAGATCCCTCCAACAGATGTCATGTATGTCCCAGTTTGGTAACCTTCTCTCTCTTACTTTCACTCTCTCCATCATGTAAAGGGATTAATGATAGTTTAGGAAATTACAACCTATCCCAGCGTCTATGGTGACTACAAAGTTCCCCGTGTTTTACAAAGTGACTGTGCATCTTCTGTTGGCTCCTCAGTCAACAACTGCATCACAAATTGAATTTACACAATTGCACTCTGGGAGGAATCCAAAGTGTCCTCTGCTAAACGGCTGCATAGTAATGCTCTGGCATAAAATTAATTGGGTTAATTTGGGGCTACTGTTTCCTGTGGCACTCATTTAAATGTATTCCACTATACCAAACCTAACATGATAAACATGCTTGCTTCCTCACTTGCCAGTAGATATTACCTTGCATAATTTTTACTGATTGAATAAATACATTTCTGGCAAATAAAAGTAATAATAACATCAAATGCCAACGAAGAGCACAGTATAGCACATAAAGTACACAAATGACATTCAGTCCAGCACATTGGACCATGCGGTTATATCATTAGTTGGTAATTTGATTCTGAATGAGCAGATGCAATCTTAACTAATAAAAGTTTCAAGGTAGTGCTGACAGTAAAAAAGGCTAAATTGCTTTTATATCTAGAAATATTTTATGTTGCCAGGCAACAGTCTCAACTCAACATCTGGTGATCTGGTAAGTTCAGAGATAAAACATTTTCATTATCATGTCTAGCTCCTTAAATATTTGCAAGCAATACATTTAACATGTTATGAGATCGAATATTTAGGAAGAAAAATAAGTATCATATTTAAATGTATTGACAACAATTTAAAAAAGGCCTTTTGCATTATACATAATGAAAGGCTGCGTCCATTTAGTCTACTGCATTCCATTCAAGGCCAAACAACAGACTGCTTATGCTTTCAGTTATCTGAAAAGTATAGCTATTTTCTCATTACCGCTCATCAAGCTTTCAGTTTCAGCATTTCTTATGTTTTATGGCATCTGATAAAGCCTTTTATAATGAAATATGCATCGATTCATGTCCTGGTCTTTTTCAAAAAGACATTCTAATCAAACTTTATTCTGGGAAATGCCATGCTGGCGCAAAAAATCGAGTAACTAAATACAGCTAAAAAGCAGAAAAACTGAAAGAAAATAACACTTTTTTATGCCCGAGATTGAGAGGAGCCCCCCCCCACACACACACACACACACACACAGGGAAACTAACTACTGTCTGAATCAATAGCAGAGCGCTTTCATAGCAGAATCTCTATGACTCTACTGGGTTTTAAAACTCACTCATTTGCTTAATCCGAGCTGATCCACGGGATGTGCACAAAGCGTCCACACCTGTTTTTCCTGGCTTTCTTCAGCTCAAAAACAGCTGCGGTGGTCCACATGACCTCCAAATACAGCGTGAGAAATGGCAGCATTCATGTAAGATGATGCTAATGTCCAACGTTAGGCAAATGTGTGTGTGCGACTGGGGGAGAAAGGGAGAGAGAGAGAGAGAGAGAGAGAGAATATTTTAACTCACCATATCGATGGATGACACAGGCCCGATGCTGTTGACATATATGCCCACATTGATGACTGTTGGTTTCACTGCAAGAGGGGAAGAAGAGTGAGTGATGGTGGCTGCACACATTGTAGGTAGGACATGTGAGATTTATACATGCAGTCATTCTATTTGGTTTGTCATTTGTCAGCGTTTTCATCCTGCAGTTATGTGTCCATGCCAACATATCAAATCAATAATCAAGTTTAAAACAAAGGTTATCATCATTCAGTGTCACCATGACAAATAAAACGAGTCTATTTTCTTTTCAAGGAAGGCAGAGCCGGAGTGGAAAGATTTACTTTTGAAATCAGAAAGGCTCCACCCTGCTTCCTGGAGCAGTTAACTGTGTTACCATGACAGTTAATATCATTTTCAGTCAGTATGTAGGATCTTGGCTAATTTTGCTTGGCAATAACATTTGGGTTGGTTCTAAGAAGCAGAAATTGGAGCATCAGAAACGTGGAATGGTACCAGACCTAAATGCTGCAACTAAGTCTTTGTTTGTTTGTTTAATTACTGTAAGACAGAAAAAAAGGCAAATTGCATCTGACATGCAGTAAAGAAAAAGAAAAATGGTTGATGTTAGTGAACAAACTCCCATGAAAAATTTATAACGTGGGGTTTATGGATCATTCTGGCTGCATTTGTTTGTGTAAAGTCTATACAAATATTATGTTTTTCTTCATGAAACTCCATGTCCTTATATATTTCCTGTAAAGAGCACGTTACACAATACATTTTCTCGGAATTACACATGGTTTACCCAACCTACAAATTCACTGCATGTCCTTCATCTGGTGTTGACCAGTTCAATTAAACTTGAGACATTTAAAATATTGTTGCAGTTCCATGATGTTTGGCTGTGTTAGCAAAATTGTTAACTTGCTAGTTTTTGATCATAAGTAATGTAATCATAACAAATGTACAGCTGTCATATTATGCTGCTTTAATTTTTGTTTTTGTCACACAGCAAGCACCTCATCTAAATGTCTAAGTAACACACACAGACTCAAAGATGCACTCTAACCTGTTACGCAGTGTTTAACACGACATGGGGACTCCGTGGCTACATTATGACATTACCCAAGTAGCATAGCTCTTCGGTTGGCAATGTGTTGGTCGGTCTAACACTTTGGTTCAGACTGAAATTTCTCAGCAACTATTGGCTAGATTGCCAACACATTTTGTAGATATTCATTTCCCCCAGAGGATGAATTGTAATCACTTTAGTGATCCCTTAACATTTCCTGTGGCACTATCATCAGGTGAAAATATCAGTTTGTCCAATAGTGTGGTTTATGCCCAAATACCTGCTAAACTAATGACATTCCCATTAGCCTAAGCTTTACTTTGTGTTTACTTAAAAATAAACTAAAAACAGATAAAACAACAGTACATAAAATAGAAAACCATATGGCTAGTTAAAAGCTTGTCTTAAAAGATGTGTCTTTAGGTGTTTAGCATGATCACCTCCTGTCTTAAAATATGTTTTGGGAAATGTTAAAAGGTGAAGACCTCAGAGGGAGCTTGACCATGCAAGGCTCTAAGTAATTATTAAAATTTTAAAATGCACTCTAAAACCAATGGGAGGCCAATGAAGGGCCTTAAGCACATGCAAATGTAAGCAGGCAAAACCAGTGATGGTGACCGCGGTAAACATTGTTCCTGCTAAACATCAGCATAGTCATTTAGCACATATTAGCATGCTGACATTCGCATTTAGCTCAAAAGATCGCTGCTCTGTGAAGTACAGCCTCACAGAGAAGTTAGCGTGGCTGTAGACTCTTGGTCTTTGGTAGAAACAAAAATGTGCCCGTAAGTATGCTACACATGGACGGAGGAATAAGTGACCGGGAGCACTGTACGACATCGTATGTGTTACAATTCCACAAAAGGATGGTGTAAAAAATTTAGAGAAGCTGCTGGCCTGTTACAGCTGACAAAGAAAAGATGTGAACCTAACCTTTTAATGGGTGAAAAGGTGAAAACCAAACAAGGGTTGATCTTTTTCATTATATTAATAGATCCACTGACACAAGCTTTAAAAATATTTCCCACGCACCATATCTCTCTTTCACTCTTCACACCGCAGGACATTACGTGCCAAGCAAAAGTGAAAAGCTGCAGTTAGGCTACAGACAAGACACACATAAACATTCTGTTTCACCCACAAGCACAATGTTCCCCCTTTGGAGTGCTATCAAATACAACAACTGCAGTGTACATCAGTGTAAATGCAGGTTGAGTTGTTCTGGTTACAACACACATTACAAGGTTAAGCACTGTGTGAGAGCTCTTGTACCCTGTGAGATAGTTTAATAGTTGGTTTGTATTATTTTGCAGGACTGTGACCAGCAGATCGGACGTGTATGGAATCTTGCTGGGTTAAACGTTCTGCAGAGTGGTGTGTTGTCAAAAACTTCTGAAGGAGTCTTTTTGAAAAATGCCAAAAATAAGATAAATGAAGGGAGTTGTTTTGTACTCACACAGGAGATTTTACAGATCCATTCACAGCACTTGTGAACCTTTAAAGACTGGGAAAATCTATCTTTGCCTTATTTATCTATACTGTACAATATATAGATATATATATATATTTTTTTTTTTTTATTCTTTATTTTTACAGGCAAGTCATTAAGAACAAGTTCTTATTTACAATGGCGGCCTGACAAGTGGGGTAACCACTTAGGGAAAAGGAAAAGGGGCTGAAATAAATACAGTACATTAGAAATACATTCAGTTTTAGCAATTACATAAAATACAATTAAAAACACAACACAGTAGACAACACAAAAATTATTATGTAGAGAAGCAACTGCAAGTGTCCGTGAACAAAGACGATATAATAGTTTTAAAAGATGAAATTGAAATTAATGTATCCAGTTTAAGAAAACTTTGCAAAGCGTTCCAGTCACGAGCGGCAGCAGATTGGAAAAAAGCAAGACCAAAGGCAGAGTTGGTTTTGGGAATACTTAATTGACGACAAAGTGAGGACCGGGTGTTGTATGTGACAGGCTTTGGCTGCAACAGATGACCCAAGTAAGGAGGTGGGCGGCCGAGAAGGGTCTTGTAAATGAAAGTGAACTAGTGAATTTTACGGCGAGTCTGAAGGGAGGACCAGTTGACAGATAAATATAAAGCACAGTGGTGTGTATTAAAAGAAGCATTTGTGGCAAACCTGATAGCAGCTAACAGCTTTGATATGTGGATGGAGAAAGAAAGTGAAGTTTCCAACCAGATGCCCAAGTATTTATATGCAGTGACTTGTTCTAGAATAGCCCCCTTGCAAGTGGTCATTTTAAGGGCTGGAGGAGGCATAGTACCCTTACATATTATTAATATAATATTACGATTTCCGTGTTACACTGAAGCGTTGATGCTGCCTTGTCCTTTCCAGCACTGCCTCAATGTAGCACAAGATTGCAAAAAGCTTAAAAGCCCACAAAATTATGTTCAACTTTGCATGTTTATACTCCCTTTTTCCTTGAAGAAATGGTGCCTTGGAGCAGTGTGCTTAACCCTTGACCTTACCTAGTCAAGCTGCTCGTTATCCAGCAAGAAGAGTCTGATGTTTTACAGAGCAGCTTTCAGGTGTGAGCAACAGCACCACAGAAAAAAGAAAACAAGTTGCTTAAGGAGTAGACTTCAATTGGAATATACTAGTGTTATTAGTTGGTCATCTACAGGCAGTAGCACTATCAATTAAGAGCACTAAACTAGATGTGCCATCTGTTTTGCATGTAACAGAATCATGTTAGTTGTCACATTGGGGAAAGAGCTATTTAATGAATCCATGACCCATGTTACATTCATTTCAATTGTTCTTAACGGTTCATTGCCATTAAAGACTTTCTATATTGTTAAATCATCAGCATCTTCATAGTCATTTAGTGTGCTCTCGATGTTGATATGAATCACAGAATTGAAATGCACGCGGGTGTGTTTATGTGCGCACATCTGCGTGTTATGTCCCCAGGAACCTGATGTGCTGGGCCAGTGGAGGCCTGCTGGGAGGCGTTGATTCACTTCCAACAGCGTGTTCTGCTCCATCAACTGGACAATGAGGGACAACAATGCGGTCGCACTTCTGAAATTAGTTTCACAATTCTGAACTACAGTCAGAAATGTTCTCTGTGATCTTTAGGTTGAAATCTGCATTTGTTCAAAAATACATCATGTAGCATGAGACAACCTTACGTTAAAATGTTGCTTCTAGCAATTACAGTATCCAACACTTGGCACAATATACCAAACAAAGTGAATTACAAAAGTTCTGAACTGAAGCCACTCTGACAGGCAACACTAGGAAATACAAAACACTCTAAATACTCTGTAGACTAATCACAACATCAAGGCAAACTGATCACTGGTTCACAGCTGCCCTGGACTGTGGACACACAAACTATTTAAGGTGCAGCTGGGCTTAATTGGAGACTGCTGATTGGTAGATTCAGTCAGCTCATAGCCACCCCAATCAGTCAGGCAGTCTCATCTTCAGATGGACCAATCCTCGATGGGGATTCACACAGCTGGATTTGCATAACCAGCAGAATCACTAACAGGAACAGCACAATTAGTGGCAGCCAGTGGCGGCCATAGTATGTTATCTCAACATCTACAAGATGGATTGGTAGAAATATTGTACAGACATTCATGGTCCTTGTAGTAAAAACCTTAATGACATTGGTGATCCCCTCAGTTTTGACATATTTGGTTTTCAGTGAAATATTGTGAAAATTGTCATGAAATTTGAAACAGACATTAATATTCCCATCAATTGATGATTTGTAAACATTTTGCTGATTTATTTAACCTTCATTTTAAAAGGAAAATCCCATTGAGACAAAGTCTCTTTTGCAAGGGAGTCCTCTATATCACAAATATAAACTTTAAAAAAAAAATTCAACCATAAGTTGAAATGCAAAACACAAAATTAGAATACAGGACCATGCAAATTAACACAATTTGTAAAAAGTATTTACATAAGCATATTACAATGAGTTATAAATCTAAAAAACGAAAGTAAATGAAGAGACCAAATGTA